TGAATCCTTCGAATTTTCCCTTACTTTCTGGCTGAGATATTCCAAGATCACCTTGCTCTTTCCCTGCCAGACTCAGTGATTTCTCCAAGGAGTTCTAGATTCTTAGTGAAAAAAGATAATCAGATTCTACAATTGGGTTGTTACAGGTGCTTGTTGCTACTGGGTTGGTCAGTGTAAAAATATATGGCTAAGAAAGTAGTTTTGCAACTTGCTTTTTTCACTTTAACTGTATTCATCCACTAAACAAAAATGTACTGAGTAAGTACACAGTGCTAGCCACTGTTTTAAGCCTCGGGTGACCCAAAGAGTAAACAAAACAAAGTCCTGTATCTATGAAAGCTTACAGTCTTAGATGGAGAAAGATAATGAAGACCAATAAATACTGACATTTGGTACCATTTTAATATTTATTCATAGATAAGCGCTATGGTACCAAATAAAGCAGGTCATTTTCTAGCAAGGGAAAGGAGCAGAGTCCCTCAGAGCGGAGGTCATTAAACCAAGGGCCAGGAGAATAGGCAAAGCTGAGGCCAGTGGCTAGGTCAGATATTCTCAGAACACACATCTAGACAAGATATTTAATTGTGTTTAATGGAACAAAAGTGAAGAGACTGGAGCAAACAGAATGCAAGACTACTAAAACTTTATAGAAACTATAATGCCAAAGATATCCCAGGCTGACTCAGTCAGGCGGTGAGTTTTTAATTCATAGGACAATTTCTAGTAATCAGCCCTCCATACTAACAGAAGGCAGGCTGCTAAAGCTGTTTGGTCTCCGGAAAGATCATCCTCCATCTCAGATGTGACCATGAAGGTAGAAACACTAGCCAAGGAACACCGACAAGGCAAATCCTCCTAAAAAATAAAACTGGAGGCTGTCAAACAGGCTAAGCATCCTTAATCTACAAGCTATGGAGCAGTGAATACTGAGGGTGTTTCCAATTTTTCTTCCTCTGAGTGGGAGTTTTATATAGTACTTATCCCATTTAATTTTCATCACTGAATACTGGGTATATTGTGCATTGATAATTGCTTTTAGCCACACACTGCTGGACCATGAAGAGGCACACACATCTGGACCTGAAGGAGAGGGTTTTACACCAGCCAGAAGTCCTGGATTAGTAGCTGCACGCACTAAGTGGATGCAGCTCTGGGGTACAGAACCCTCTAAAAAGGAACTGAAAATTTCATAGCAACATGAGTACTTTAGCATATGCATGATGTCAGGTTGACAAATGTGGTACCCAGCAACAGATACTCCTATTCTTCTCCTCCTTCCCTTGCTGGCAACAGGCATGTGCACACGTATACACGCATTAAGTGCCTTCCCCTCCTCCATGTGATTCAGAGAAGTACAGCCCTCTACTCTCAGCAGAGATAACTGATGGTCTGACCCAACAATTTTAGTTCCATTCCCCTTGCCAGTGATTTGACACAAGAGCATATAATGAATTTTGGCCACTAAGATTAGAAGGAAGTCTGTTGGGGAGAGGAAGGGAGAGACTGGAGAAAGATTGATCAATTAAAAAGAGATACAAACAGATATCCATCCCTCTTCTTTCACTGAGCATTGTCAATTCAAACCTACCTCATCTGCATGTGATGTCTGGTCTCTCAGCAGCCACATTGTGACACTGTGGCTAACCTGACATTTAGAGATAACACAGTTGAAAAGACAAAGAACTTGAGTCTTGATGAGCCACATAATTAACTAACTACGGTCCCCTTATATCCAGACTTCTTGTGTGTTTACTACATTCTCCTTGTTTAAGCATTAAAAAAAAAAAAAAAAAAAAAATCGCCAAGCCCCAAATGTCGTATTTAAGCTATTAAAAAAATTTTTTTAATTACTTGTAGAGGAAAACATTCTAATTGATGGAAAAGATAAAGTCTCTCCCAAACCATTTTAGCTGCCCAACTGATATCTATTTTCCCCCTTATCCTAGTTAACCAAACTTGTGATTTTGTTTGAGGGAACAACGCATCTAGCCCTAGGCAATGGATATAGATTAATCTAATAAGTCAATTGTGACAACCCTGTTTCCCTGTTTTCCAGTAGCTCTTCTGATTAGGAATGATTAAGACTTAAGATAAAATCTGTAACACTTTTGCTTTCCTGGTATCAGGACTAGTTGAGGCCAGTGCTGACCCCTTCCCTGTTTTACCTGCCTCAAATGCAGATAACAGTAGCCACTTTGGAATCACAAGGGAAATGTCAAGAAAATTACAGACGGCTGGGCGCAGTGGCTCACACCTGTAATCCCAGCACTTTGGGAGGCTGAGGCGGGCAGATAATGAGGTCAAGAGACTGAGACCTTCCTGGCCAACAGGGTGAAATCCCATCTCTACTTTTAGTCAAAAAAATTTTTTTAGTACAAAAAATTAGCTGGGCATGGTGGCTCGTGCCTGTAGTACCAGCTACTCAGGAGACTAAGGCAAGATAATTGCTTGAACCCGGAAGGTGGAGGTTGCAGTGAGCCAAGATCGTGCCCACTGCACTCCAGCCTGGCACCTGTCTCCAAAAAAAAGAAAAAATTACAGACATGTCAGCCTTGACACTACTTAATAACTGAATGAACAGCAAACACCTACTGCCTATGTTAAAAATAAATCTCTACTGAAGTCATTATTAGTTACTAAAATCTAAAATCCATTTGTGACCAAGTCCAAAAAAGGGACTAAATATCTATCAAATATTAATGTATCCTGTTCTAAAATTTGTGACCAAGTTTAAAAAAAAAAAAAAAAGAATTCGGTATCTATCAGCTCTTAGTATCAGATGATTCATTTTTCTATTCAAACCTAAGTAACTTTATCTCAATGTAAAGCACTTAAATCTATACCCTAACAGTTGATGGTCAAAACATTCTTGTTTATATCTAGGATAAGCATTATTATTTTACATTAAGGAAACCAAGTTACAGATAAGTTTATTTTCCTGAGACACAATTCAAAACAAGATAAAGCTAGAGCTAAAGTCAAAAGTTATTTCCAGTAATACCATTCTACAGTCTTTCCTCATGATCTCTAAGAAATAACTTTTCCACATTGGTTTTAGCTTTAAGAGCAAACATTTTTATGTTATTTGAAGCAACTATCAAAATAAGTTTTTTTGAAAGGAAATGTAACAAATTTCACTCTTTATCAGAGAAATGTAATTTCTTAATAAGATTTTTTGTTTTTACATAGTAACTAATTACCAACTTATTCCATCTAATAAAAGTTTATTATAGAACAATGTGAACTGGGGGAGGACTAGGAATTTTGTATCATATTACCTATGTGTAATATAAATCGATTTTTTAAAATTTTATGCCAAAATGAAGATTACCTGGGAGTGATGTAGCAAAAATAACATTACTATGAATTTAACTCATCTTCAAAACTATGGCAGCTCTGGTTGAGGCTGATCAACAAGGCATGTAACGGACACTGAAGTAAAGGTATTATCCTAAATAATTTGGTGCTTCACAAATAAAAGTGACTTTTGGCCAGGCGTGGTGGCTCACACCTGTAATCCCAGCACTTTGAGAGGTCAAGGAGGGTAGATCATGAGGTCAAGAGATCGAGAAACATCCTGGCCAATATGGTGAAACCCCGTCTCTACTAAAAATACAAAAATGAGTAGGGCATCGTAGCACTAGCCTAGAGTCCCAGCTATTTGGGAGATTGCAGCAGGAGAATCACTTGAACCCTGGAGTCAGAGACTACAGTGAGCTGAGACTGTACCACTGCACTCCAGCCTGGTGACACAGCAAGACTCCATCTCAAAAAAAAAAAAAAAGTGGGCTTTGCAAGAAGGCTCTGTATTGTGAGCATAGTAATACTAAGGATATTATAATACTAAGGTAAAATTTTTTTAAAAAGCTATAGATTTCATTCTATGTGTTTTAAGATGAAAATATCAAAAGCTTAATGGTTGCTAATCATGTTTCTTCTTTACAGCAGATATTAATCCAGATCACTGTGAACAAAACATTAGGAAAATGCAACCTGTGAAGTAAAAAAACTTGAGAACAAAGATATCCAGTAAGTTTTATCTAAAATCCTCTTGCAAAACAGTACTGTCTTTTCAGATTAAAATATTATCCTACTTAAACCATACATGTACAAATACAGACCATCTGGTCCTAAGAGTCATTACAATAACTTCCTGTTTGGGAGTTCTGAGCTGTGAATACACAGTAGCAAAATTACATTATTGGTCACAGCAAACTGTCAGCGCTCTATGAAGAAATTTTAGTATTCAGCATAGACAAGCACCAGTTATCTTTCTAAAGTCTTTTAACCACAATAAAATGAATTTTGGGTGGGGGCGGGGGACAGAATCTTGCTGGAGTGCAGTGATGCAATCTTGGCTCACTGCAGCCTCTGCCTCCCAGGTTCAAGTGATTCTCCTGCCTCAGTCTCCCCAATAGCTAGGATTATAGGCACCTGCCACCACACCTGGCTAAGTTTTGTATTTTTTTGTAAAGATGAGGTTTCACCATGTTGCCCAGGCTAGTACTCCTCCTGAGCTCAGACAATCTGCCCGCCTTGGCCTCCCGAAGTGCTGGGATTACAGGTGTGAGCCACCATGCCCAGCCAATAAAATAATTTTTAAATTATTACTTATACTTGTTCCTTACTGTATTTTAAAGGAGAGAGAAATTTTGAAGTTCAGCCTGGAGTACCTATTACCCTGTCTTTCAGGCACTAACTGAGGTGGCTTTACATACTTTATCTCATTTGATCCTCACAAGACCTAACGCTGTGTATCATCATGCCTATGTTGTGAAGACAGACTCAGAGAGACTGAGATTTCAAAAATACTTGAAAATGTTTCCATCACAGACAAATTAAAAAATTATTTGGCACGTGTTTCATCTTTGATTCTTTCCTAAAAGCTGTCCTGGTAGGCTGGGCCTAACTATTCAAACAGGGATGAGTCGAAAGAACAGAAGCAAGAAATAGTGCTTTTTATATATAGAAATACATTACTAAAATAAACACTGATTTACCTTGAACACGAGAAATGATGAACAGATAGGCTCCCAATAAACTGATGTAAATATATAGCTGAGTCATTGTTCAATTGCAGTGTTTCCTGTATACTGTCACCTTTAATAACTGGTCTTGCTACTTCACTAATTTAAATGACTATCATTCAGTGAGATTTTCTTGTAAAAGATCGCAAGCACTTGACAATGACTTCAACTCCCACTGCTTTCTCCCGACTCCTGGAAGACAGAAATATTAAAAAGGTAAGGAACGCAACTGCATTTTGGAAAATTTTCAAAAACAAATGCTCAAACACATCTTTAAACAATGAAATACATTTGAAAAGATTAAAGCAATCCTTTTTCTTTTAGGCACTGTAATTTCAAACATCAATTAATTTAATAACAGGCTGCAACCTCTCCTGACCTCAGATTAACCATATATTCAGCAAGTAAAGTACATTAAACAATCTCAGTAGTCTTTTCTGGCTGCTCTAAAGTAATTAAGTTATTTTATTAATACCACGAAAATTCCTAAATATATTAAGACTTAAAAAGGAAAAGTCAAATTTAAAATACAAGGGTAACCATCAACATTCTTGAAAAGGCTAGTAGGTATACTGAAAACACCGTAAGTCTAATAATTTCTTCTATAGATAGAAAAGGAAGCTGACCTTCAAAATTACACATATTTATTTATTCATTTATTTGGAGATGAAGTTTTGCTCTTGTAGCCCAGGCTGGAGGGTGATGGTGTGATCTCCGCTCACTGCAACCTCCACCTCCTGGATTCATGTGATTCTCCTGCCTCAGCCTCCCAAGTAGCTGGGATCACAGGTGTGAACCACAATGCCTGGCTAATTTTCGTATTTTTAGTAGCGATCGGGTTTCACCATCTTGGCCAGGCTGGTCTTAAACTCCTGACCTCGTGACCCACCCACCTTGGCCTCCCAAAGTGTTGGGAATACAGGCGCGAGCCACGGCACCTGACCCCCCCAAACTTTTTTCAAATTTAATAGGGGTGGGGGTCTTACTATGTTCTCCAGGCTAGTCTCAAACTCCTAGTCTCAAACAATCCTGTGGCGCTGGCCTCCTCCAAGTGCTGGAATTACAGGTGTGAACCACTGCACCCAGTCCGCATCTAGAGTACATATTATTGACCCAGTGTTAGGTATCAGAAATACAAATATAAGTATGGTTATTCCTACAGTCTTGGGCAGGAGACTGATTGCTATGCCTTGTTACATTTTTCATTGTCACTGTTTCCTCGTCCGTTTATTTAAAGCTAGTATGTGGCCTTGTCTCATTAGAGCTACAACCAAGGCATCCTGCAGAGCTGACTGGCTACAAGACTCAGAGGAAAGGAACTGTGTGTGATTCCTTCCACAAAAATATCCATGACCCTGCTACCCTGGCACAATTTCTGGATCAAATTCTGGATCTACCTTTAACTTAACCTCTCTGAATAAGTTTCCTCATCTTTAAAACTGGAATGAGGCCAAATGTGGTGGCGACCATCTGTAATCTCAGCTATAATCCTGGGCTCAAAGAGGATTACTTGAGCCCAGAAATTTGAGGCTACAATGCACTATGATCACAAGAGTTAAGAGCCACTGCACTCCAGCCTCGGCAAAATAGCAAGACCCCATCTTAACAAACAAATCTGGAATGATATTTCTTAACCCACAGTTATTTTGAGAACCAAATGAGATAACAGCAAACAAATATTTAAAACAATTTTTAAAATAAAAAAATTAAATAAGTTAAATCTTTTTTTAAAATTAAGGAACTCATAAAATAATAGCTAACACATATTAACCTCTATGTGTCAGTATTGTCATAAAAGCTTTGCATATATTAACTTATCAAACCATGAACCAACTTATTTAAAAGTTAAAATTACTATTTTAATTTTACAGATGAAGAAACAGACTTTAAGGAACTTATCAAAGATCACACAACAGGTAAGTGGAAGAGTCATAATTAAAATCAAGGAGGTCTAATTCCAGATTCTACATGTTAACAACTACCCTATACTACCCTGCCTGGTGTTTATATATTACATAATAGAAATACACATTATGAACTATTTAGGAGAGCCTGGTACACAGTAGGTGCTAAATAAAATTCCCTCCTCTCATCCATGTTTATAACATTCTTGCCAACCTGGCACAGGAAGTCACTAACAGGTGCTATCTATGACGATCCCATCTGCAAAAAATTTTTACAGACAAAAAAAGCTGTGATAACTTGTATGGAGAACAGCCATCAAATCGTGATAAGCTGTTCTCTTTACTATGAGCTCAATACGTATAGGTATTGATGACAACGGTTAAGATATAAATGCAGTCTGAGAATTAAGGGAAACAGTGCTGCTGTAATCAAAGAGGACAACGATCTTACTTTATTCTACCTGGCCAGGCCTCCTAAGCACTTGAGAGAAGAATGACAGGAATGCAAAGGACATAGCAACCACTCCACTTGAGATACAACCAAAAGAACCCAGGGGTTTTGCTCACAGAGTACATAAGAAATAAAGTTTGAATGTACCTTTGTCAAGGACATGACCAACATGGTAGAAGGGGAGACTGGACTAAATGATCTTCTTTTTTCCTTTTTGAGGCAGGGTCTTACTCTGTTGCCCAGGCTGAAGTGCAGTGGTGCAATCTCAGCTCACTGCCTCCTGGGCTCTGGGTGATCCTCCCACCTCAGCCTCCTGAGTAGCTGGGACTACAGGCATGTGTCACCAAAAATTTTTGTATTTTCTGTAGAGATGGGGTTTTGCCATGTTACCCAGGCTGGTCTGGAACTCCTGGACTGAAGCAATCCACCCACCTCAGCCTCCAAAGTGTTGGGATCACAGGTGTGAGCCACCAAGCCTGGCCCTAGACTAAATAATCTATGTGATCCCTTCCAATGTTGGAGTCCTATGGAAACAGTGCTCTTCCCATTGAATTATTAATTTATTCCCTAAATGTTTATTAAGTGTTTATGCTATGCATGATTCTGTATTAGATACCAAGAATACACTGTTCAAAGCCAAACAGACCCAGCCTTCATGGAGTTCAGAGTCATTAAACAAAACAATTAAGATATTCAAGACACCAAACAAGACAACACAAATTATACACAATCATTAACTTGTGGTAAGTGCAAAGCACGAGCTGGGCACAGTGTATCATGCCTGTAATCCCAGCACTTTGGGAGGCCGAGGTGGGTGAATCACGAGGTCAGAACTTCAAGACCAGCCTGGCCAAGATAGTGAAACCCCATCTCTTCTAAAAATACAAAAATTAGCCAGGCGTGGGGGTATGCACCTGTAATCCCAGCTAATTGGGAGGCTGAGGCAGAGAACTGCTTAAACCCGGGAGGCAGAGGTTGCAGTGAGCCAAGATTGCACCACTGCACTCTAGCCTGGGCAACAGAGCGAGACGCCATTTAAAAAAAAAAAAGAAAAAACATGCCAGGTCCTGGAGTCACAGGGACAGTGACCTCCTCTAATCTATATGGAGGGGAAAAGGAAGCAATGCTGAGAAGTGACCTTTAAGTTGAGATGTGAAAAAGAGAGTCAGCCAGGCAAAGAAAGAGGGGAAGAAGTTCTAAGCACAGGAAACAGCCTGGGCAAAGATCCTGAGGAAGAGAAAAGTAAAGCGAGAATAATGTCTGAAATGTTGAGAAGAGACAGTGTGGAAGGAGATGAGGGTGAAAAGGCAGAGAAGACAAAGACCACGTCAGGCAAGGGCGTATAAAAGACTTAGGATTTAAGCCTAAGTGGGCATCATCTGATTTCTGTGTCATAGACTGAAGGGGATAACAGCAAAAGCAAACAGACCAGTAAGCCGAATACTGTGGAAATTTAGGAGAGTGACAATGGTGGTTAAGATTAGGGCAGCATCCGTGTGCAGATGGGTGAATTAAAAAAAAAAAAGAACAGAGTGGCAGTGGTATAGGGGATGGACTCATGCTATATTTCAAAAATAATTTTTGGCTGGGTATATGACTCAAACCTGTAATCTCAGCACTTTGAGAGGCCGAGGTAGGAGAATCATTTGAGGTCAGGAATTCAATACTAGCCTGGGCAATGCTGTGAGACCTCATCTCTACAATAAACTTACTAAAAATTAGCTGGGCATGGTGGTGCATGCCTGTAGTCCCAGACACTAGGGAGGCTGAGGTGGGAGGATCTCTTCAGCCCAGGAGTTCAGGCTGCATGAGCTTTGATTATGCCACTGCACTCCAGCCCTGGCAATGAGCGACACCTTGTCTCAAAAAACAAAAAAAACTCAGTGGTACTTAGCAATGGATTAAATGTAGGATAAGGGAAAGTGAGGTGTTAAAGAAGATTCCCACATTTGTGGCATGAACAGTTACTGAAATGGGAATAAGTGATTTTGACAGGAGTGAAGAGATGAGATCAAAGGTTCAAACTTAGAGACCTAAGATTACCCAAAGGGAATGTCTAATGGGTATTTGGTTCTGAAGTTTAAAGGACACATTTGGGGCTGAACATTCAAATCTGTTATGCCAGCAGCACAGTAGTATTCAGCCTCGGCTCTGGGTGAGATGGCCTTCCAAGAGAATGAAAAGATAACACATACACTGATGACTGTGCCTGGCCACGATCATTCTTAAAATTATATAATTCTAAGAACTAATGATAAAATATATTTTTTAAATTCCTACATGACTCATCAGAACTTTTATTGAATTTAAAATATCTAATCTTGACCAGGCGTGGTGGCTCATGTCTATAATCCCAGAACTTTGGGAGGCCAAGGCAGGCATATCACCTGAGGTCAGGAGTTTGAGACCAACCTGTTCAACATGGTGAAACACTGTCTCTATTAAAAATACAAAAATTAGTTGAGCATGGTGGCATGTGCCTGTAGTCCCAGCTTCTCAGCAGACTGAGGCAGGAGAATCACTAGAACCCAGGAGGTGGAGGTTGCAGTGAGCTGAGACTGTGCCACTGCACTCTAGACTGGGCGAGAGACCAAGATTCCATCTCAAAAAAAAAAAAAATCTAATTTTGCAATGTCAAGAATATAAGGAGATACAGATATTTGACATGCTGCATAATCAAAATTTTAAAATCATGCTGGCATTTAAAAGGTATTGAATAGTTAGACGAAACAGGCATCTAAATAAATTTACTTCCCCTTGCTATATACACAGACGAGTGCCATTTCATCTTCAGGAAAATTACATTGAGACATTAAGGCAGAATTACTCAAATATAA